TATATTTTTAGATGAGGAGCTACTGTTGGAGACTTTGGGGTTCTGGTAAGCCGGAAGACTGTGTTTACGCTTTGTTTGTAAGTACGAATCTCCCATTAGTCTGCTGGACATGCTAGTCATTTATATAAAACGTATAGGGGACGGCAATAATTACTGATAATGTCGCAAACGAAGCTTATTCTCAAATAATTAGCCATTCCAGTTAATTGTTATCTCTCTTAAGATGAGTGAACTCACACTAAAAAGTATGACAAGTGACTGCAGGTTATATATCCGTAACACTTGATTCTAATCGGGTACTTCTACTGAAAAAATACCGTTTTGTCAAATAAAGTCGATAACTTTGTGAGAATAAGTTTAGCAAGGAATGGAATGGAATAGTAATGGAAGTAGAACTGGTCGAAAAATACAAAATTTACCTTCCTGTTTAGTTCCTGTAGAGCAAGAATCGCGATTAGAAAACTATTCACGGACCTTTGGTAAATCAATGAACTCCTCTTACTATTATATGCAAGTTTTGTTAGAATATTAGAAAATAAATTGAATAATTTTAAGGCAAATTTTGTAGAAATTGAATATTCTCTTAAAGAGTCCTTAAATTTTCTGTAAATCTCACGGAATAATTACTACAGAAGTAGTGGTTAATGATACCGATTTACATATGTTGATAGAATAGTAGTCTGGCCTTTCGTAAAATTTCCAGGGATATTGATTTACATTCCTCTTCCACTGCAGTTCATCAATCTTTGTGGGTTTAAGATTCGAAAAGAGCTATATCCAAGAGACCAGACACAGTGTAATCATAGATCAAACATCAGAGAACTTAGCAGGAATACGTTGAAAAGAAATTTATGCAAAACCTGTATATTCTTCATTTTCCCCAAGGAATGGGGTGGTACTTTTTGAAGTATGATTTGTTGCTTTCTCTTGATGAAGTTTCACCCTTTAAAAGTCATTGAGATAAAGAAATAGAATTTCTTCTCTAAATATTGACGTCATTTTATTCTAAATATCGAATGTAATTGTAATCGTATGGGACGTATATCGTGTCTTGATAGTACGACGAATTGATTTTAACATTTTTTATACTCTTTATATTCTTTATTTCCCACTGTAATCGAATTCTGCGACAATAATTAAAACTTTACTGAAACTTTCTTTGCATTGAAGGAAACAGGTTTGTATGTTTTTTCTCTTCGTTTTCGACAATGAATAGACTTTTTTTTGATGCAATCATTTAGGCAATCTCATGCTTTATCAAGGGTTACAATGTATTTCTATTTATCTCCTGCTAAATAGTTTCTATAAAGGGTTCTGCAAACTCTTCTGCATTCAACCAGATGCTTCAGCAAAATCTGCTGAGCATTATGCTTTTAGCTTTTAAAGTTGTTAAGCTTGGTTTATTATTTTGTTATACATATTTGCTATATATGTATTTAAAAACTTTGCTACTGATTTCTGCGCTAGGAACTTTTTTTTGTTACCTAACGATTTAACTTTAGAAAGAGCTCGTACCTTTTTCATATGTTCGTTTGCAGTCTTCATTACGTGAAGGAATAATGACTGAATTTCTCTTTCTAATTGATTACGTTGCTTATTTTGCAATTGGAAATTTAATACCATGCATTTCACAGCGTTTTTCAATTATGGTATAGGAATATTTCTCTTCGAAAAGAGCAAAAACATATCCTTCAATCCGCAGCTTGGTTCCATGCGATATTTCAAAAGAACAATAAATTTAAAGCAGAATAAGTTATTTCCTATTTAAAATAATAAGCACTTGCCAGAAATGTTTATTCGAAAATATTTGTTTCAGAAAGCATCAGAAATGATTGAAACAACGATCACTACGGTTATCTTAATCATGGGCAAAATCTTCGTGAGTTACGTTATCATTGATCAAGTTTTTCCATGTCATAGGATAATTAGTACTAAGTTTTTAATTTTATTTTAAATCTTAGCAATGCCTTCCACTGCATAAAATACTTGTATTATGATTTTCCTTTTAAAAGACTAAATGTTTTCAGGTTTTCATAGTGCGTCTTTTTACATGCTAAACAATGTGTATTAGTAACAAATTCTGTTTTAGTAAAAAATATGAAAAATAAATTTTCTTTGCAAATCAAACTTATAAGAACCGGCAGTAGATCAAGTCATAATTTTTCTGAATCAAAAGATTATTTTTTCCCTAAAAATATTGGTTGTTTATTACCTATAAGTAAAATTATCTTGCAGCTTTAATACATTTGTGTAATCATATGTTAGAACATATGATTATACTAATACTTTAAAGTTCGTTTAACACTTCAATAAAGAAAATCATAAAAAAAGTATTGTCCCAAACCTCCGTACACAAGATTTTATAAAGGGCATTTGTTGTATTATCAGTTTTTGCTCAGTTAGAAATGAATCAATGCTCAACACGCATGTATCTAGAACAGGATCAGTAAAAAACTCACAAACAGCATTAATCGCTGATGGAATAAAGTCTATCCTGGAGATGAATTGGTTGACAGATGTAAAGGTGTATATCCCTGTAGATGTTATTGAGTATTATGGTTTATTTCCGTAACGCGGAGACAATCCAGAAGATGAATCTACCACCATGGATTTGTACAGATCATTTTGTTTTGCGTTAGGTGTAGGAAGAAACATTCTTCTTGAACGTAAATGAAGCATATATACGAATATTAGATTGCCTACAAGAAAAAAAGAAGGATATCTTGCCGGAATCATTAGGCACTTCACTTAACACTTTGGTATTTACAGAAAAGATTACGCAGTTCATGGTTTCGTATCAAAAGCATGTTTAATGATTTATAGTTTTCCGATTCTTACGTCACCGTAAGATTTCCTGTCATATCTTTCATTAATAAAATTTTACCATTTTGATTAGTTTAATTTAGTTCTCAAGTTAAAACTGTATATTGCTTATAAGTGTAACAAAATGCGCCATAATCCAGTTTGATTGTGCAAAATGATGTTTATAATTTTTAGTGGCAACAAAAGAGGCATAGGTTTAAATAATAAATGTTGTACATTAATCGAAGATATCCGTGACATGCAAATGGTCGACTAAAATAAGTAAATAATGCTTTCTCACGGCAATATTATACAATTTTGCTTAATTGAAATTAGTATGTACCTAAAACTTCCATGCATTCAGATTTGATAGAACATTCAATTTAATATACAACATTTTGGGAAAATCAGTGCATAAAATTCTTCTTAGTACTTTAATTTTTTAAATAAACTTTTCTAATTATTTTAATGCCGAAATGAATTTTAAAACGTAAGTAACCTTAGGCAAATAATGAGTTCTTTAGTTAATATCTAAATTTAAAAAAAAATTATATGTACTGGAGATCATAGAAAAATATTGATGTAATGCATTTTGAAGAACTGGAACCATGAAGATCTTGAGATGATAAACACACAAAAATGATTTATTATGCTGTTTTCTCTTCAAAACTGTATTACAAGGACAGGAAGATGGGGCTATTGTTTCGCATAAGTACCTTCCAGTATGTAAATATATTACTAATGAAGGTATACGCCCCAAAGTGGCAACCATTTCTACCTATCTGTTAGCTTATTGTGTATAATACTTAAAATTTCTATTATTTTCATAATTTTTAAACCAGAAAAGGTTTTTATAGGTTATAATAAATAAATTGTAACTAATTAACAAATGTAGTGGAAGGTAAAGTTATGTTAAAAATGTAGTGGACTGACAGGGTTATGAGTGAAACTTTATATATTTCTAAATATTTAAATAAAAAAGAATGATTTTATGTTTTTTCGTTCTTATATTAATCCTAAAGCCTTAAGAATTTTATAAACAATCAAATTTAAGACCGCCGCTCAGTATCTCTAATATTGCATTCTTTCTTTCCTGACAGATTCCATTATGGTCAGAACATACATCGAGTTTTTATGTAGGAATTTTATTATCTGTCATATGTTTAGGTAAGGAAATTTAATTAAATTTAATTTTGTTTAAGTGAAGTCAGCTCTCATGAACTGTAAATTAATGTGAGTAAGATGTAGCATATATTTATTAAATAAAAAAAAGAAATCGTTTACATTTGAAAGGTCTGAAATGAAGAATTTTTCCGAAACAATTACTGAATATTTACTTCTCTGATCGGAAAGAGCATACATAAAGTCAAAGTAATGATGTAATTTTCTTGTCAAATTTAGTTCCAAATTACTGACCTAAAATGCAACCAAGTGGTTAGAAAACAGCAATAACATTTCTGTTATTAAACCAAATGATCCATCCAATATTCTCCACGGTAACATGACTGAACCCTTTTTGAGATTTATTGCTCGGCTCTTGAGTACAAAAACAGATGAAAAGAGAAACAAATGGAAACAGATTAAACAAAGTATAAAGATACGTGCTTTAAAAGCCTTTACCATATGATAACGTAATTTTTTAGATAATCCTTGAGAAATTACAGGATAAATGATTCAAAGTTTCTTTATGTAAGAGATATCCCAAAAATATCTATGTATTAAAAATTTATTTTGATTTAGAGTAAATCAGATTCCTGGAATTTAATTTCTTTTTATTTTTTTGTTCCAGGTAAAATTTTCGTCTAATTTTTTATTACTCACTTCATTTACCTCACAATCGTACAGAAACCCCAAGTAATGCAAGACGTAGTAAAGACGTCGCAAAATGGTCCCACTGGCCACAAAAGGGTCATGGTAACTTTTACGACTTTTTCACAAAGTGGCGAAGACGCAAAAGATTTATTGTCGCATCATGGCAACTTTTTCACGCCTGTAGAACGTCACGAAACAAACAGCTGCAGACGTGACCACTCTAGTTTCCTCTACGCTCTCATTAAACATCATTATTTTTTTTAGTCTTCGTCATAATAGTAAACATCTCTCCCTGAAAACTGTAATTTGGCATAAAATGATAAGCAGAAAATTTTAATTAAGTATACGGACGATTGAAATTTTAAGGATAAAAGTTTGGTGCTTACGATTGAGGTCTAGTGTGACGGAATTGGACGTTGGTACCGTAAGGTTGTTGTTGGCAGCTTGGCAGGTGAATACGGCAGATAGATCCGATCTTCGAACCCTCACGAGAGTTATGTCGTTCCTGACGTAGCCCTGCGTTGTGATATAGTACGAGTCATCGAGAAGTACAGAATCTCGCCACCATGTCACGGAAGGAGAAGGAGAACCTGGTAGAATAAAAGAAAAAATATATAAGTAAATAATTAGAATTTTCTTAATAAAGTTTTATAGTTATACTTTTCTTTTACCACATCTGAAAAATTTAAATGCTTAAATGTGTTATGTAATATAAGCTACTGGAATGTGGTTTTCTGATATTTGATTTCAGTCGATGCTTCTGAAAAACTACATCCTCTATAACACTGCTTTCAGAACTGATCTGTTGACGAGCAATCTACTTTACAATAGTTACTTAACTGTTTCAAAGACTTTGAGTATTAATCACTAACAGTAAAATACACTTGATTAGGTCCATACCAATGCCTAAGCGATTGTAAATCGTTGAATACTGGTAGCTCGTCTCGAGTTCGAAGTCAGACGAATGGGAGGTCGGTATGGTTGATTTTCCTGGTTTTTCCCAGGTATAACATAAAAGCAAGCCAGTTGTCCTTCAAAAGACATCTACGAACGCATCCCTCCCTCTCATCAGCTTTGCCATATTCAAAGTAAATGAACCTAGCCTAATTACAAATTCTGACTCTTATGGCAGGGGTAATGCATATTTTAGAGGGAAATGCCTCTCTAACTTGTTGTTAAGTGCGCTTCAGAAATTTCATAACGCTCGCAAAAAAGTGTATGCCACAATTCAACGGCGAGCCGCTAGTTGGCATTATTGTATAAAAAAGGTCGGTCCTCGCACCCAACGGCATTTTCTACCGAGAGGGTTGGTGATTATACGAACCACGAAACGTCCCGGGCGATGGATTGGTTGAAATGGTCCCATAGTTTGGCTACCAAAATCACCGGATCTCTTGTGTATGGACATTTTCTTGTGGGGCCATAAGAATAGCCCAATTTAGGAGTGCCCCATTGAAACCAATATGGATTTATAAGTCAGGATCGTCGTTCTTGCCGGTGATATTCGGGAACTGCCTGGTGTCTGTTCTGTTACTAAAATGTTTCCTGAAGTATCTCCTCTCCTTCTTGTGTTAATTCTTTAAATGCGACTGTGGAAAACCACCCTTTCACTTCTCACAGCTTGCGTTCTGACCATACATTCTATGACAATATTCCTATTTTCATAGAATGTATGACTATATGAATATTGTCCTAGAATGTCAGTTCTTCTATCACCGCCTGAAGTTTTGTACACTTGTTCAAATTTACCCTGTATGGTGCAGAATGTGGACCAGACACAATATTCATCTGTGCCTCGCTTTATCGATAACATCTGCAATACCCATTTTCAATCACAAAACTCTATTATCTTCAACTAATATTTAAATAGCTTTATTTTTAAAGCTATTTAAATATTAGCTGTTTAATACTGAAAAAATACATCGTTTTATTATTCAAAGTTCAACGAAACTGTCGCAATAAATACAAAATGGATGGTAATAACAATAATAATACGATTACTGTTTAAAATTGAAAATTTTTTTTCGAAAAATTAAGTAGCATTTATGTAAATCGCTAATTGAAGGGGCAAATTCACATTTAAGACATTATAATCTAGAATAACTGAATTAAGCCTGTTTGAGACAAGCGATTAAAATTAAAAAAAGAAATGAAGAACTTCGATATAAAAATCAACACAAATAAAACAATAAATAGTACTAAAATGCAGTTTTCCAGTTTTATTAAAATCAGTTGCTGTTATGGCAAACACATTACATGCTGCAGCATGTCATCGGTAGGCTTGAATCTAATGGTAAAGAAGAGAGAGCGAACACGTTTCTCTATGTTCCAAAGAGGAATGGAGTGAAAGTTTCGCCATTCAACGAAACTGCTACACAGAATTTTCAGGAAACTTTTAAGAAATTCAGACTGAAGGCCGAATGGATATCAGCAACCATTTGGGCCTACAGAATTGAAGGTTTTACTTATATTTCCGTATTGCATATACAGAGGCTTTCTTTCCATTCACATGAGACTGTAAACAATAAAGTCGCCAAATTTTTTAAATTAGCCGCATTTCTTTACCTTGACAAAATATTATGTACATTCGTGAGCATATTCTATATAATATTCAAGAAATATGACACACATGTGTCTCTTTAACATTATTTTTAGATTTTTATGAATACTTGCCGTCTGATTGCTGGCCTAATACTCGATTGGGATTCCCACATGGTAAATAGCTTTTATCGAAGCAATAAACACACTGCGTGAGACTGACGAAATCGTGGTTGTTTCTGTCAGTGTTAGTGTTTAACTTAAAGATATGGTCCGTTATCTTCATTTTTAAGATCTTAGCTTTCGTTCTATATAAGGAAATGTTTGACTAAATTGCAAAGTTTCAGTCCAATTAAATTTCGTTTTGCAGTTATTAAAATTTTTCTTTAAAGAATCATTGTAATACCTAGCTCTAAGTGCAGACGAAAGTGCCTAACCATCAACATAATGGTTGATGGTTTAGCATAAACCATTATTCATTACACTGATTAATTTGTCCTACTCAAATTTTCCTAAACCCAATCCAAAATTAAAATCTACAATAAGTTCATATTTTTCTTTTGTATTTTTAACTGGTCTCCCCCTTAAAAAATATATTAAATTTGGAGTCTCATAGGTTAAAATCTTATTTTGCTCAAATTTCTTTATCAGTATGTGGGGCGAAATTTCAAGTCAAAACGCAATACCCTTATGCCAGGTTTAGGCGTAACTACGTTTTATTTCTCTTGTTTTAAAGATCAAAATTTGATTTAAAATCAAATCTAGGATCTTTCGGTCTACAAATACTTTGGCATGGTTTATTTGTATATGGTAAACCATTCGAAGGCTATCTGCCTAAGGGTAGGGATGCCTTCGTGGAAGACTTTCTAAGGCAAAAATGGCTCGTGTTTATGTTACACATGGAGAAAACTGAATAAAACACCCATTCATACAGCACGATCAGTGGGATATGAACTCCGGACTGAAACACCAGTGTTCAACGATTTTACCGTCGGCTGCTAACGGGCATTACAAGCACTCTAATAACTTACTACAAGCTCGAGTATTATTGAATGCTATTTATATTGTAAATTTATGCAATACTTACTTATGCTATAAAATGGTGACAGCATGAAACCATGATTTCAGTATTTCAATGCAAAAAATTAGAAAAACTAAGCTTCCATCAAAGAAATTCTAACTGTGTTTTCATCAGGCGTTTAATCTTAAATTTACAAAATATGCGTCAAATGAAAGAACATCAATGGGTTTACATAAAACAATTGGTGACCAGAGAAAGGAAAATGTTTAGTTTTTTTCCCCATTTTTTGTGGAAGTTAGTGAAATACGACACATTTTTTATTGTGAATTTTGCAATGTAAATACAAAAATCAAGTTTTCATTAACGTTTTAGATTATTTTTGAAATTTAACGATTAAAAAAATATATAGAAAATCAAATACCATATTTTATATCTCATCATTAATTTGCACTTACTCATGTAACCCCTTCTATCCAGGTAACTAAGGGGCACTGTTAAATTTCTAAATCTACTTGTACTACCAAGATTTCCATTGCGCTTCTAAATACAGGATATCCTGGAATATGATGAAAGAGAACAAAACATGAATTGAAATTAACGTATTAATTGCACTGTAGTTTGTATAAGTTGGTAAAAAACTCAGAACGTTTTATTGTACTTCTGTGTGAAAACCATTTATAGTCTGAGTTATGCCTAAGCGTTACTCTATCTCAATGGTATTTAAACTTTATGGCAGTTTGACCCCCGTAAAACGATTTAGCGATCCCAAACAGAGCGTCGACAATTAGTTAGATACCATTGAATCAGACCTTTTAGGACTTTTATCCGACTTGTAGCGCCATTTTAAATTTTTGTGACCCACAGTTTGAAAACCACTGCTCTATCACGTATTCGAAAGCATCATCTGTTTTAAAGCCTACGTAATTTGGTAACACGGGCCACTGACATTAGATGCATTATTTCTTTTACTAACCGCCACAGAAAGAAATCCGAAGTGAATTAAATTCGCGATCGCCACAGAAAGAAATCTAACGGGGTCAAGTTCTCTGCGCGGCAATCGTTTCCCGCTGGGGGGAGGGGGAAACTTTTTAAATAAAAACATTGATTTCAAAGGATATATATGTATTAACCGTTTTGATCACTTCTTTCCTACACACTCTGCATATTATTTATGAAATAATTTGTACTATTATTTTAAAACTGCTGCAATTATTTCTTTGTTTTTTTTATCACTATTCTCGATTTTTATTCGTTCAATTACGTACCTTCAGGGCCAATTTAAATAATTTGATTCGAGATTCATGAGTCAAGTTTTAGCCTACAATGAATAAAAAAGAAATATAAAAATAAAAATCTGAAAAGCTTCAGATTTTAAATTAAGTCCAAAGGGTCGATTTTTTAACGATTTATGTGTTACCTTTATTTATAAGATATTATGTTCTTTGCAGTTAAACCATAAAATTCAGTTCAATAGCAATGTCGCAAAATAATTTTAAAATGAGCATATCATTAGAATTTCCGATACACAGTTCCGCGCGATGGAGATAAAAAAAGTTTTTTCTGTACAACGTTGCCGTTGCTCACTTTGAAATCCCTGAATTTGTTAATCGAAAATTCGTTAAAGTTTTACAAAATATGAAATCGATAATAAAACAAAATCTAAATTTCAAATTTGATTTTCCACATGCCCATATTCGTAGGAGGATTACGTCATTCAAAATTCGATGGCTCTATGTACCGTTGTTTTATCACAATACAAGAAATACACATACATTTATGCACATTTTTCATTATTTAATTCCTTCAAATATAATGCAGGTCTCTAACATTTGGTGGCATTAGTTTCAAAAGTGAAACGAACATTTATAGTGATTCAACGCAAAATCGCAAAACGAAAGCAATAGTCCTTCAGGGACAAAGCCCTATTAGACTAATAAATTTTTTGATCTTCTGATATCTCTGTTTGATCGTGAATATGTTTGCTGAAGGCACAGAAATATTCCTATTATATATGTAATTGAAAGGTTTCTGCTGTGTGAAAATAAGATATAATCCTGATCGCATATCATACATTGCCTAACTGATCATAAGAACAATAACCTTAAGTTTTAGTAATTAGGTTTTGACCACAGAGAAAGAATTTTACATTTACAACTTATATGGAATACTTAAAAATACGATTTAAGTTTGTTAAATACTAAAATAGGGTATTATAAATAAGTTTATAAGAATAAAAGGGCTACAATTTTGGATTACAATACAGACATCGTATAAATATATTAAAATGCTGCACTTCGAAATTAAGCGATGTTTCGTATCTCATTGTTTACCTTCAAAACTGAAGGAGAGGAATTAATGAAATTTGGTATGGCCATAAGATTGATATAAGACAAAAAACTTACACCATGCAACAATCATGGTACACATGTATTGTGAAGATTCATTTAATTTACCTAACAATTAATTTTTATTTAAAAATAAATTTGATTCTCGATTTCAATCTACGCTTACTTGCCGGAATGTTGATAAGCTAGCGCGCACGTATTAAAATGAGGCAGAAAGAAGTAGTATTTAAGGTAAGGTTTTGGAAGATGATTATAGAGAGTGTTATGCCTGCTTGAATGCCACGTTCCTATCTGGATTTACTAGCGATTAGATTTCTGTTGCGTTGAGAGCTTCTAGCCTTTAAGCTTCCTTATGCTGACCTTTACGAGCCGGAGCCTTCCTACAAGTTAAATTATCCTGTGATCCGTTAGGCTAAATTTTTTACATTTAAGTTTATTGTTACCTTTGAATTAAGTCAAAAGTGTTGGCTTCTGCAAGCACAAGTCAGTGACATCTGTGATTATATAGAGCTAATTAAAGGTTTTTTTTTACATCCCTCTCTTGTCGTACTTAAGACTTAAAGATAATTCTTCGTATGATCTTCTAATGACCTGTTAGTTTATGATACGAACGAGATATACGAGAGCGAGACACTAGAGTAGGATCATCGGGGAAGGAATGTCTGAAATAGAGTTAGCAAAACTCAACCAGCAGGCGGTTAATAGGGAGTATGGCTCCTTATAACACTCACCCAGCTCTCATAACGTGACTTAATACTGGTAATGAGGTAGTGATGCAGTTTTAGATTCCCTGCTAACATTCGATAGCATTTCAATTTTGATAGCCTTTGTAGCCTTGGTGAAAAATTTCTGGAAAATATCTTCCTCCCGAATTGTAACTGCTCATGGGTCAATAGGGCCCTTTTGTTAAACTTGCTAATTTTCAACGAACTAGTGACTGAACGAAAACACAGATACTAACTCATTAGGGAAAATGTAAACACTAGAATGTAGAAGCTTTAACAACTTTCGGCTAGGGAATAAATTTATTGATTGCACCAACATCCAACCTCAATCTGGACATGCGACCTGGCATGCAAACATAAAAAGTCTTTTGTATCCTTGCATGCCATACTTTTAACTTATGTAAATTTATGCTTGTATGCTTACATGCCATACTGATGTTAATTTATAATTGTATGCTTGCATGCCATACTTTTTAACTGATATTTTGTACGCTTGCATGCCATACGTTTTAACTGACATTTTGTATGCTTGTATACTTGCATGCCATGTTTTTAAACTGACATCGTAAATCTATCTATTCTACTTAATTTTTTTTCACTAGCAATCGCGCACAATTCTTAAGACACGTTGATTAATGTTTTATTACTCCTCAGATTCTTCTGCGTGACTGTAAGAATGTTTTTACATATGAGTTACGTAAAAAAAAGCGTAACTAAAATATGTTGGCATTCAGCATAAAATGACTTCCGGGGCCTACGAGCCACCAGTTTGAGACCACTGTTTTAAGCGATCTAAGATGAAAGCAATTTGAAATGATGAAAGTAATAATAAAGTTGATAAACACATGTGATAAATGTGTTAAGAAAATGTTTAATCATATTGTAATGGCATTCATTATATTTATGAGGTCATGCTCATTACATATATAATGGACATATTTCATTCAAGAAATTAGCATTTTAACCACCTTTCTATGTTGATGAAGTGCTTGAAAATATCTGATGTTCGAAAGGTTTATATATTTTCTCTGCATATCACTACGTTGAAATCGACATAGTCGAGTATAATTAATGCAATTAATTTAGATTCTTTATATTAAATTCAAGCAGAGAACTTTGGTTATGCATTTTGAATCATATTTGTCATGTAAATAGGTATCTTTCCACTAGTACTGCTCTGACTACGTTCATCAATAAGTACACAACAAACTTCACCTAACTGGGTTATTCCAATGTGTTCCATACGTATATTTTTAACTAAAAAGAATCTTAAACACTTGCCAAAATTCATCATTAAATGACTTTGAAAACGTAAATTGGCAGAAATACCACGAAATACTTGCCAATTCTGCAGGCAACGCTTTATAATGGCGTAAAATAAATCAACCTTACAATGCGTTGGCAGACAGATATGAGCACTCATAACTACGCTCTTACCTCACTCAAAAAAATAAATAAAAACTCTGAAAATGATTTTTGGGAGAGAAAGAATTCGAAGTTATTTTCTAAAGATCTTCACGAATTTATGTTTGTTCCATAATTCAAGATTAATGGTTTGCCATCCTCGTAGGAAGTTATTTTTTTATCTGTATGTTACGAGCGTATACACTTGGCTCTGATAAATGCATTTTGTTATTTACAACTTTTATAATTGTATAAGCAATATTTACATAAACTGGCGAATTATTCTTTAAGGAACGAAATATGTCCTTTAGTAAACTTTCTAAGGATTATCCTCGACAGAAGCAGTTTTTTTGATATAATAACCACAAATTTCTCGTTCTATGCTTTACAAAAAAATTAACTAAGCATTTTTTATTTCTTTCGGTGTTCGTTGATAAAAGGACGCTAAATCTTAATAACAGCAAAAGGCATCGTATAGAAATTTTAGTACGGTCATTGAATACGAGAAAGGCAGAAAACGGGAATAAAATGCTAAAGATATATCAAGGTGAAAACGTGCCGGCTGCAAAGTTGTTATCGTGATTTGACACCTGATGGCTAAATTTTCAAAATATGATAGTGTTGAGGAGAAAATACGTCTGAGTCAATTAAGGTGAATGCTATTTTAGTAAATTTATTTAAAGTTTATAAAAAAAACTACTGGTTTTAATCGATTGGTTACATGAAAGTCAGTTTGATCTCATCTGCACTCCTAAAATTTTTTAAGATGCACTCGCACAACTTTAAGCACTTTCTAAAAAAAAAAAAAAAAAGAAAAGAAAAAGAAAGAAAAGGATCAAAAGAGAAAACAAGGTTGTGTGATCAAATTTTAAGAATAAACAAAAATGAAACATGGAAATAAAAAAAATTATATAACAAGACATTGCATTTGCATAAATGTTTCAAAGAATTAATGACTTCCTCCCTAGCCTAAGAAGAAATAGCATTTCCATAAAATGTTTAAAAAAATTAATGGCTTTTTGGTTCATGTTTATTAGGTAAAACTTTTTCAAATTGTGACACTTCGTTGTTAATAGCAATTGGCATACCTGATTGAGCATCGTTTGAATGCTAGCTCATACTTTTTGAATTCGTTTGGATTGACAAAAAGGCACATAATTCAGATTGGCATAAAATATGTATTCGAAAATGTAATAAGCTCAGTTGGTACATTTTTACTAAATTTTGGGAAAATATTCATTCCCGAACACCAATATTGTTCCAAAGTATTGCTTTCAAACTGCATTTTAAGAACATGATTTGTCGGTAGTTCTAAATTATCTTCCTTTACTCTACCCATTAAATGAATTTGATAATATTTCCAAATGGTGTACAATTTCTACTTACAATTTCACATACTTTACTTACATGCGACATACTTACATTAATAATGGCATAATAAATAAATCTATTATCATCGAATGCGCAGGGAATATGTTTTGCACGGGCACCAATGTCTTGCTTGTAATTTTTAAACAATCATTTATTTACAAAAAATGGAAATGTTTCCTCGCGCCTCCTAGAATGTTACTTCGAACCCCTGGTTGTGAACCCTTGTTATGTTGCTGTCTGTCGTATCATTGGTTGGTTCAAATCTCGGAGAAGGTTCAACTGTTTGTTAAGTGCATATTGTTTTTATGGCATGGAAGAAGTTAAAATGCTCGGTAAGTCGAAAGTCTTTTGAAGCTACTTAATGGTAAGAACAGAAGGATGAGAGACTCTTGATCAAATCTCGCTGCGGATTTTCCTTCAGAAAGATGCTGCTCTGGATTTACGTATAAGCTGCACAAGCTGTAGCTTTGGGCTCCAGCATTCATGGGACCACTCCCAGAAATTGTACCATATCCCATATAAAAACATTGATTTATATCCCTCATAAATAGCCCCATATCTCAAACAGCTTAGCATCTCGTCCAATTTATATCCGGCCCTGCGAAGATGAGACGGAACTGAGCAAACAATTGCAATGCAATGTGCCCACGGCTGTTGTCAACGAGAGGCAATTCTGCTCTTCTCGCCACGATAAAATTTGGGGACTTTTTCTGATGTTACTATGATACAAAAGAGAAAGTAACAACAATGACATAAAAATAAAAGCGGTTAATTATCTTCCTTATTAGTTCTGATTATTTTTATGCAAGATACATTGGAAAACAAATTACTTCTGTGATTAAAAAAACATCAAAAACTGCTTAACAAGATTCTCAGTTTATTGGTCAATCTTGATCACAACCTCTTGAATGTAATCCCATTCAAGTGATGCAACGTTTTTACAATCTTCAAAGATGCTTTTGTGAAATTGTTTGAAGAATATTATCGAATATACTACTGCTTCAATTAATTCAAAGAGATGATATGACTACAAAATGGCAGAAAAGGCTGACAAAATTACAGAATTAATAATTTTATGTGGGACCTTTAAAGTTAAAACAGTATAAACCACAATTTTGGATTTTTGTTATAAAGTTCAAATATGAACTCCTAATAATGCAATTGACCTCGTAAACATAATTACTAATAATATTTATGTGCGAAATCGAGTCTGAAACATTTGCTTAAACTAGTTTATGTAAATACATAAACTTTCGTAATTCCCAATGAATAATTCACAGTCTAACTGAGTTGTGTGACCTCATTTAAGCCTTTAATTCTACTGTTCATGAAATCGATCGATTGCAAATGAAAACGTGAAAAATTATTCAGAAATCCACTTTCATTTCGTAAAGTTCATATTAATTCCTATGCTTAGAATTAGGGCGCCTTTATCAACTTCTTCCCTCTATAAGAGCATTCTTAGGATGCCTTTCAAACGTTTTCTTTTTTTCTCTCACTTCGTTTTCTTTTGATCACTTCCGATACCCATTTCAAGGTTTGTTTATTGGCTTTCTTTGTCTCGAAACCATTCATCCCGCTGACGTAATATGCGGCCATTCTTCGTTCTGTGAAATGAAGGACAATACGCTCTCCTCTAATGTTCGTTTAGCCAAAGGTCTGCTCAGTTATCAACACTTATTTGGTTTCAAATGGCTTAATACCTAACAGTTTTTATAGAGTCAATGATTTTAAATAAGTAATGCAGCAAAATATTAAAGCGACTTGACAAAAAATTGACACTTTATTATTTTTAATATTAATAGATTAATGTTCTAAGAATTAGCCTTCCTGCGTGTCTTCGCGGTGTAACTGGGAAGCACGCCCTGCTAGCATTTGAAGGACCGAATTTCGAAACCTGACGAAGGCATAGCTCATTTTTCATGCTCTCAACTTCAAATAACCCTAACGCATTTACAATGTTATTGATTAAACGTCTGTAAGAATGCAAGGAATCACAGTATTTGGTATGCATAAGACCTTATAAAAGTTGGTTCATCAGTTAATATTTTGAGCACCCATGATTTGATTCTTGGCAAGCACATGATAGACAGAATGTTTACGTTTGACAACATCATAATTCCTTTGGTTGTAGACCAAAATAATTGTAACAATCCGGCGGTAAATTATCAGTTTAAAAGAAAAAGATTACCTACTAAATTATAATTATCTTTCGTTAATTAAGACCTATATTAATTTTTCGCAACTTTTATTTAATAGCTACGTCATTGCTAAAATATTTTATTTGTAAGATCTTTCTTCATGATATAAATAAACAAAACGCTAAACATGCCTTTTTAATAATATATTTATTTTACATTAACCAATATTAACTGTATCTACAAATGAAAATGAAAGA